ATTGGGCCATACAACTGTAACAGGAAACAACCTGTCCTGGTACAGTTCACTAACGAAGAGGCAGTGGATTACATACTGCATCACAAACACTTACTCAGAGGTAGCGAAAATTACTACAACGTATATATTGACAAATTCATGACGAAGGAGGAGCAGATAGCCCACAGAGCAAGCAAACAACAATACAACTCTTCCCATTTGAGCGTAGCTACACACACCCCAGTGCTTAATCAACCCATGCTAACTAGCTCACACCTGCTTCTCAGGTCACTCCTTCCCCAAATCAGCTGCCCATGCTTATCTCCCCAACACCTCCCTTGACCTGTCTGACCCCACTGCAGTTAAATTCATCCCACATCCAAGGACCCCCTCATCACCTCAACCTCCAAAACCCGTCCGGCCCTCATCCCCTCAACCCCCAAAACCCACCCAGCCCTCATCCCCTCAACCCCAAGAACCCACCCAGCCCTCATCCCCTCAACACCCAAAACCAACCCAGCCCTCACCCCTCCTCATCCCCTCTCCTTCCATGTGACCCCCCACCTTGCGAGGGGGGTGGGAGGTTCCTCCCCACTGTCCAGGAATATTAATTTGGCTAAGTAGCTGCGGTCTTAATCCCTTGACCTTTCTTAGATATGTGATCCATAGTCTGTCTACTTAACATGTACTTCCAATCATCATTCGTTAAGTGTTGTAGTAATGATCCTCTAGCTAATAATTCCTACTAACTTGTGGATTACAACACCACCCCTCTATATTTCCCCCTCCCAACCTCTCAACCTCTATCTGACTCCCAACCTTACGCTATCTCCCAACCCCTCTATGCCCTCCCTAATCTTTAGACCCAGTATGCCCTTCCTACTCCAGACCTACCTACCCAGGCCTACCCCAGACCCTCCTACCTACCTTCCAAGAAGCCCAGCCCCCATTAGCCCCCCAAGCACCCCTCCTGACCTCTTTCACCCCCATACACCCCCCAGACCCCCCCCCCAGATGCCCTTAGGATCCCCCCAGATGCCCTTAGGATCCCCCCGGACATCCCCGGATCCTCCCGCCCCCAGTCATCCCCCAGATCCCCCAGATCCCCCCTGCCCCCAGTCACCCCCAGACACCTCCCAGATCCCCCCAGACCCCCAGAGAAAGGGGGGAACTCTGATACAAGAGTTTCCATGAAGAATCTCAAGGTTTGGTACACCAATGCTGATGGGGTATCTAATAAAGCAGAAGAGATAAAAGAAAGAGTGAGTGAAGCAGATCCTGACATAGTTGCAATTGTGGAAACTAAAATTAATGACATGATCTCAGATGCAATCTTTCCTGAAGAGTACCAGGTGATATGAAAAGAGAGGACACAGAGACAGGGAGGGGGAGTGGCACTTCTAATAAAGCGGAAATGGAAGTTTGAAGGCCTGGGAAATCGAGTTACCGCTTCATACATGGAACTCTGACAGTAGATGGGAGGAAGAGTGTGATCTTGGTAATCTACAATCCCCACCAAATAGTAGAAGACCCAGGCAGGAGTATGATGACAACAACAAGGCATTTATAGATGAACTGCAGAAGGCAGCAACACTAGCCCACAGAATGAGAGCGAAGCTGCTGATCATGGGGGACCTAAATCATGTAGAGATAATTGGGAATCAAGGAATCCCCATGGAGGGGACGAAACGTGGGGAGCAAAATTAGTAGATGTTATAGACAGGAATTTCCTAACACAACATGTGAAGGAAGATATAAGGGAAAGAGGAGGAGATGCACCGAGCCTATTAGACCTGATTTTCACCCAGAACGTTGAAGATATCGAGAATTTAGAGCATGAAATACCTCTAGGGGCCAGTGACCATTGTGTCCTAGTCTTTGACTAAATGATGGAATTCAAACTTATGACCATGGGACAAGAGATCTGGGAAAGGAGAGTTGACTACAGGAAAGGGGACTATAAGAGGATAAGGGACTATCTGGGTGAAGTGCAGTGGGAGGAAGAAATTAGAGGAAAAACAGTCCAAGATATGATGGACCTAGTCGTACAGAAATGCAGGAGGCCGAAGAGAGATTTATACCAACAGTAAAGGGAAAAAATAAGAAGGAATATAATAACCAATGGTTTAATAGACAGTGTCAGGAAGCAAAAATGGCCAGCAGGCGGGAGTGGAGGAAGTACAGAAGACAAAGGACAGAGGACAACAGGATCAGATACAACAGAGCTAGGAACGATTGCATTAACATAAGACGAACATCGGAAAGGGACTATGAGAACGATATTGCAATCAAAGCGAAAAAACAACCTAAATTACTACACAGTCATATAAGAAGAAAAATGTCGGTATACGACCAAGTGACAAGACTAAGGAAGACAGAGGGGGCATATACTGAAAGTGACAAGGAAATCTGCGAGGCACTGAATGCCAGTTTCCATGGAGTGTTCACTACGAGTCTGAGCAGCTCCCATTGTTGGAAGGGGTTACCCTAGATGAAAGACTATCAGATATAGAGGTGACAGCAGAGGAGGTAATGAAACAGTTCACAACTCTAGATGCAACTAAAGCAGTTGGACCAGACAAAGTATCACCGTGGATACTAAAAGAAGCAGCGCAGGCCCTCAGCGTTCCTCTGGCAATGCTCTTTAATGAGTCACTTATGTCTGTAGAATTGCCCAGTTGCTGGAAGAAGGCAAATGTCGTGCCGATCTTCACGAAAGGTGATAGGGAGGAGGCACTTAACTATAGACCTGTATCATTGACAAGCATCCCCTGTAAAATACTGGAAAGAATAATTAGGCTACGACTGGTTGCACACCTGGAGAACATTAGGTTTGTGAACAAACATCAACATGGGTTCTGGACAGGGAAACCGTGCCTAACAAACCTTCTGCGGATGACGCAAAGTTGATGAGAAGAGTTGTGACAGATGAGGATTGCAGGATCCTCCAAGAGGACCTGAACAGGTTGCAGAGATGGTCAGAGAAATGGCTACTGGAATTCAACACGAGCAAATGTAAAGTTATGGAAATGGGACTAGGAGATAGGAGACCAAAGGGACAGTACACAATGAAGGGGAACAGCCTACCTGTGACGACGCGTGAAAGAGACCTGGGGGTGGACGTAACACCTAATCTATCTCCTGAGGCACATATAAATAGGATAATGACAGCAGCGTACTCTACACTGGCAAAAGTTAGAACATCATTCAGAAACCTAAGTAAGGAGGCATTTAGGGCGCTTTACACTGCCTACGTAAGGCCAGTCTTAGAGTATGCCGCCTCATCATGGAGTCCCCATCTGAAGAAGCATATAATGAAACTGGAAAAGGTTCAGAGGTTTGCAACGAGACTCGTCCCAGAGCTAGGAGGGATGGGGTATGAGGAGAGCCTGAGGGAACTGTGCCTTACGACACTAGAAAGCAGAAGGGAGAGGGGGGACATGATAGGAACGTATAAGATACTCAGAGGGATTGACAGAGTGGACATAGACGAAATGTTCACACGGAATAGTAACAGAACGAGGGGACATGGATAGAAGCTTGAAACTCAGATGAGTCACAGAGATGTTAGGAAGTTTTCTTTTAGCGTGAGAGTAGTGGGAAAATGGAAAGCACTTGGGGAACAGGTTGTGGAAGCAAATACTATTCATAATTTTGAAACCAGGTATGATAGGGAAATGGGACAGGAGTCATTGCTGTAAACAACCGATGCTCGAAAGGCGGGATCCAAGAGTCAATGCTCGATCCTGCAGACACAACTAGGTGAGTACCACTAGGTGAGTGCACACACACACACACACACTGGAGGGAATTGCTATGTCGAGGAAAATCTTCAGAATACCGAGAGTTATCAATGTCTCACCTGCGTAGAACATCTCCCGGTGCATGGTGGGACAGCCCTTACTCCGGTGGGCGTTGGTGAAGTCGATGTTGGTTCTGACGGTCCTGTGGTGCAGGGGCTTCACGGGACGGTAGTTGTTCGCCATCTTCGCCTTCGGAGATTTCTGATCTCCCTGCATCAGTAGCCGAAGTGCGTAGAGCTGCAGGGAGGAGCATAAGCGAGAGAACACCTGGTTAGGAGTACGTAGAGTAGCAGTGGAAGTAGTGCATAGAGCTACAAGGAAAATGAACTCATGGAACATCAGGGAAGACGAATACCTAGTGCTGCAGAGGGAATGAGATCATAGAGTTACCGAGGTACATAGCCCGCAGGGGGTGTGCAGGATACAGAGCTTACAGAGCTGTAGAGAGGAGTGCTTACAGTGGAAGGACATGAGAACACTTGGTGTTGAGCGAGCCAAACAGAACCCCCATCAGAAAAAGACATTATCCTTTGTTTATTTCCCATCTGTGAGTTATTGTATTTACTTGAAAATTACTGAATATCATTTTCAATTATTGGAGTTTAATGACCAAACATCACATCAGAAGATGGAGAAACGACGACGTTTCGGTCCGTCCTGAACCATTATCAAGTTGTGTGTCAGTTACTGGGAGAAACTACCAAGTCTCTCACACCACTTGATTGTCGTCCAGGACGGAGCGAAACGTCGATCGCTTTTCCATCTTCTGATGTGTGGTTTGATCATCATATGTGTGGTTTGATCATCATATGTGTGGTTTGATCATCATATATGTGGTTTGATCATCATATATGTGGTTTGATCATCATATGTGTGGTATGATCATCATATGTGTGTGGTTTGATCATCATATGTGTGGTGCGATCATCATATGTGTGGTTTGATCATCATATGTGTGGTGCGATCATCATATGTGTGGTTTGATCATCATATGTGTGGGGCGATCATCATATGTATGGTTTGATCACCATATGTGTGGTATGATCATCATATGTGTGGTTTGATCACCATATGTGTGGTGCGATCATCATACATTTAACCCCGTTATTGTGACTCTTCGTCTGTATTGGTGTTTCACTTTCAGGGTGTTCCAACTTGCTGTAGTTGGAACACTACAGCAAGTCGTAGTGTTGTAGTGTTCCAACTCACTACATTTTGGTCGCCAAACGTTCCATTATTGAGGAAACATTGATCAGTTTCATTGTTTGTCGTACTTAATTAAATTAGGCGGTATTATGACCAGAGAGATTTTTATGAAAGGTGGCGAAAGGGAGATGTTTGAGAGGTACTGGAGGAGAGGAGGAGGGAGACGGGTGAGGGATGGATGGGTGGTGCGAGGGGAGGGGGGGGGGGAATAGACGGTTCAGGGATAGAGGACGGGAGGGAGCGCAAGGTGAGGGATGGAAGAATGGAAAAGGAACGTCATCCAAAGGAAATGTAAACGTGTAAGGTCATCCGGACAGCCCCTCACAAGATGGGTATGGAGTTCTCTTCCCCTGACCACATGGATATGGGGTTCACTGCCAATCAGAACTTGACTATGGGCGACACTGCTACTCACAGGATGAGTAAGGCATCCGCTAGCACTGACAGAAGAGAAATGACTCCCACCACCACTCACAGGCTGGGAATGGCATCCATCATTCCCCACAACCCATCCTCGCCGGATTAAAATGCCGTCCACTACCACTTAATGGAGGGAAATGGCGTGGCCTCTCCGGCACGAATCCAGGACCCAATAAGCCGGATGCTGAAAGCCATTCAAGCTAAAAACGGAGAGAGGGAACCAGCCATCCCGCCGCAAAAATGATTGTGAAAAGCTTTGAAAAGGTTGTGAGAAACAGGGAGTGGAGGCGACTGAGAGGTGAGATCTGTTTCTATTATAAAATCGCCAGGGACTCGACCTGACGTTGGGAAAGTTTGCGGGTTTCACTGTGCCGTGTGAAGAATGATGGAGCATCTGCGCTGCAAGGGTGATGGAGAATATAGAGACAAGAAACCATGGATGCGACGGTGATGGAGAAGAAGATTGAGGGACAAGAAGCCAATGTGAACAGGGCGAGGGAGGTACAGGAGGAAGAACAATAAAGCAATTTCTGCGGGAAGACAGAGAGGCAATGAGCAATCTGTTGCGAGAGTTATGGGGAAGGGAAGGGAACTATTAGGACAAAGCGCCAAGACATTACGACTATATAGCCCATGGAAGTGATCAGGATATTAAGATATGGATTTGGGATGGGACCGGGGGGGGGGAGAGAGGGTGGAAGAAATGGTACCCATCCACTTGGACGGTCGAGGATTGAACGCCGACCTGCATGAAGCGAGACCGCCGCCATACCGTCCAGCCTAAGTGCTTGGAATTATGGAGAAGAAAGACAGAAGCCTTGTTACATGAGATATGGCGCAGTGAGAAGGAATCTATAATGCAGCAGTAATGGAGAACCAAATGAGCGGACAAACACCAGAGGTACACGTAAGAGGTGAGAAACACAGGAATAATTAAAAAAAATGTATCATGAAAAACTGTGGAACACGAAGATATAAAACACACTTGGCAGCTCAACTCATGAGATGAGAGACAAATTTGAAAAACGTGATGTCACTTGAAAGACAGCACTAAATGCCAGATTATATATGATTGATATAAAAACTTTACATAAAAAAGCTTTTCGAAATGCATGAGGGAAGAGAAATGGATGAAGGTATTGCGACAAGAATAAATAACGGGACAGAAAAGACAAATGTATCATAATATTACTTAGATAAGGGTTTTGTTATTATATACAAGACAATAGTTGGGAAAACAGTTGCATATATTACGAAATTGAGAGAGAGCGAGAGAGAGAGAGAGAGAGGGAAAAGAGAGAGAAAAGAGAGAGAAAAGAGAAAGAGAGAGAGAGAGAGAGAGAGAGAGAGAGAGAGAGAGAGAGAGAGAGAGAGAGAGAGAGAGAGAGAGAGAGAGAGAGAGAGAGAGAGAGAGAGAGAGAGAGAGAGAGAGAGAGAGAGAGAGGGTATGAATACAGCTGCTGGAAATACACAGTAGAGCATGGTCGGAAAAGCCGACAATATGGTGACCGCAACTTGACATGCGATTTGCTGATTGACACGATAAACCAGCAATTTACCATGTGTGGAAGTCACTCGCAACTCAGCTAATCGTCTCAACCTCTGTAGACCATTAGAGAGTGCATGAAGGCTAGATTTAAACACAATATGTAGGCCACACCTTCAAGATGTTATCACGTAGATATTCTCATCTTTTAGCAGAGGGGTCTGGTCTTGGGGACAGGCAGACTTGTCTAATTGCTGCTTTCCTTATTAACTTTGGGGACCAAAGTATGTCTGTCGGACTAACGGAAAGGTCCTGCTTGAGTCTCCTGTTTTTGATTCATTTATATGTTGTTCACTATGAATATACATTTTCTAAATATTTGCACTTATCATACGTAATTTATATATAATTATACATATCAATGTGTTCCAAAAATCTTTGCAGTGGGGGAGGAGGGAAGAGTTGCAGTTTTCTTCACTATATATGTACATACCAAGCCTATTGATGTTGTTCATGACGAAATTATGTTTTGCAAACGTTGTATAATTCTCAATGCCTTAAAACTAGATTTGACTAGCTCTACCTATAAGCAACCAATGCTTGTAAAAATTTGCCCCATGTTTACCTTACTGGTGCATCCCAAATCACCTTCCTGATAAACGATCTTGCTCATTACAAATGCAACATTACTGACAGCACATTATAATTATCAAGGGCGACATCAGCAGGTATCTCCTACAGAGGAATTTAAAAGAACTCTTGGCAACAATGGACCAGAATTTTTTTTTACATCATTCCCAACTCTTGTATCAGTTCTTCCCTTGATCCTGTCATCAGTGACCTGCCTGCATGTCAGGCTAGTTACTTATACCTGCCACTAATATTTCATTACTCTGCTTCTTTCGACAGAATGGGACGAAGAAATAAATTCTTACATCCAGGTTCTGGGACAAGGGGAACTGTCCAGCCCTCTGTTCAGACGTAGGAGTCACATAATGGAGTTCCTTACTCTAGGGATCCGTGAACAGCCAAGTAAATAACTTAACAAACTGGATCGCCAACACAAGTACATCCCTCACAGGCAGCATGAGACCAAGCCTTCGGATTACGCCTTGTTGGGCTAATGATGCCAGGAAGTAGCAAAGGCAAAAGCAAAGTCTTGGGGAGATATGAAAGACATTCTTCCGATCACAACAGCAATATTCACAGTGACGCTTGTATTATTTAAAAAGAGATTAGTACTGGGACATCTGTTAACGAGAATCACAAATAGGAAGAAAAGTGGCACCAAAAATATACGGATCCATAATCTAGTAGTCTCTGGTCAAAGATTAGCATAAATATTCATCCTCACTAAATCGAGAAGATGGGACTGTTGCGTCAGGGAATTAAGAAAAGTTGACCAACTGCAGATATTTTTTCTGGAATTGTGAAATAATACAAGCCCATCATGTCGAATGATGACTTCCATAGTTTGACTCAAGCACTGTATCGTAGCTGTCAGTAGTGGCCATTAATTTCCTTAAATCACTCGACATATGTAAGATGTTACGAAGTCAATTTCCACAGCAGCTGAATGTTGCATATTGAGTTGAGATGGTGTTCATCCGTACATAAGTTCAACCAGCAGGAATGCAATTGTCTTTGAATCTATAATATTGTTGGATAGATGAAGCGTGTCTGGTGTCTTTGTGAAGCTGAAGCCACCACGAGAGTCATCATTGTATAATATGGGCTTTGTGCTCCCATTGAGAGATTAGCCAATTACACAATGAAACATTACAAGGAGAGGAGCGCCAGGAAGAGCAACATCTTAGTATATAGAGACTGGATTTTCTCCTCAGGCAGAAGGAGGAGATTTAAAAGCTCAGGTCATTCACTTACGGTCGATGAAGACCATTGATATTTCAGTGACGTCATGGTCTACATCACCAATAATGTGTATGAAAGGCGGTAAAATTGCCTACCTCTGATTTGCATATCGTGAGAAAGCTTTTGGGTTCTGGCTGCAGGCAGGAGCGCAACAATCATTCTGTAACCAAGCCCTCCACAAGGCACTTGGGTGGTGGATTGTTCTCTACTAGACGATAAACATCTTTCATAATTCCACTAAGTTGAAACGTCA